CATGTACAGAGGAGTTTGGACTTAGAGACTTGACTCTTTTTGCAAGAATAAATGGCAGTTGTAGGAACTCTCTAGAAGCCCAGAGGCCCTCCCAGAGTCCCACAGTCAGTGGTGGAGGAATCCCAGCTCTCCACCGGCAGCAGGTGACCACGGTCATTCCTGGGAGAATGTGGGGTGTGGCAGGGGGCTAGTGACAGAACCTCTATTTTCAGCTTTATAGGTTGGTCTGTAGCCTGGTTGAAACGTCCAGGAGGCTTTGTGTCATGCACGCTCAGATTTTTAAAATGGTGAGTTTGAAAGTCTTCTCGTCATTGAGAGCCGGGAGGTTTCTTCCTGGGGAAATACTCACCAATTGTTATTTGATTCTGTATGTTGGGCCAGTGGGGCCTTCCCTGGACTTTCCTGGTAACGGCTGGAGAACAGGGTCACTGTGGGCCTTGGGTCCCATAAAAGGTCAGGCCAGAGCTCCCACATTCTCTTCAGCATGGAGAAGTGTCTGCCCCTGGAAAAAATAATACGCTGAGATCCTGAAGTTGAGAGAGAAAGAAAGGGAGGGGGGCGGGCAAAGAGCATTCCACACCTGCCCAAGCCTTCCCCACCTGCTCATTCTTCCCGCGTGCCCCTTACATCTGCAAACCAGTCAAGCATCTCTTAAATAAGTCATCGGCTGTTGTTCATGCCGATTCAAATTGGGTTTCTGTAGTTAGTGACAGACAGACCGCTGAGAGCTACCACAAAAGAAGAAAAAAAAGAAAACGGAAAAAACAGAAAAACCAAAATGGATATATAAATCCAAGATCTAATTCTTGGGAAGCTTCGTGATATAGACAAATCCCAGAAATAAATACAGAAGTAGAATATGTATCAGAAAGTTTTCGTAATTCCCAAATTTTGAGCCTATATAAGAAATCAGGAAGGGAGAAAATAACACATATGGGACATACACAATAGGAAGGTCCTACAAACGAGTGCATGATGGAAAGAAAATTAAAAGGAAAGCAAACTAGAAAAAATATTGTCAATAAGTATGAGAGATTTGGGGCGCCTGGGTGGCTCAGTTGGTTAAGCGACTGCCTTCGGCTCAGGTCATGATCCTGGAGTCCCGGGATCGAGTCCCGCATCGGGCTCCCTGCTCAGCGGGGGGTCTGCTTCTCCCTCTGACCCTCCCTCCTCTCATGTGCTCTCTCTCTCTCTCATTCTTTCTCTCAAATAAATAAATAAATAAAATCTTTAAAAAAATAAATAAATATGAGAGATTTATTTGGATTCTCATAAAAATCGGTGAGAAAAATATTCAGGTTCCAATAGAAAGTTGGGCAAATTGAATGAAGAGATAATTCACACAAATTGATTATACATTTCCAATTTGAAAGTTGAACGCCCCCCCAGAAGTACAAATTAATCACAGTGTTACAAATCACAGAAGAGGATCAATATAATGGTAAAGTTATGCCAATGTCATATTCTTGGCTTTTTGATGGCAGTGTGTATCAACCCAACTCTTTTCGAAAATGATTAAAAATTCTCATCAAGCTTCTAAGAAAATTAATATGCTTTGTCCAGGAAGTCTATTCCTTAAAGTGTATCAGAAGGTAACAGAATTTAAGAGCTGGGGTAGAAGACATTGGTTACAAAGAATGGAAATCCAGTTGTAATAAACCTAAACAAATAAAAGACTCTATTTTCCCAAGTAATTACAGAAGCCAGGGAAAGAATGACTTTGTAGGTCTCTGGGTGGAGGCTTTCAAGCCAGGTCCTTCTTTTGCTGTATCATAAATGGCCATCAAATTTGAGTATTAAAACTATTCCTACTTCTTAGGTCACAGCTCCGTGGGTTACAAGTCTGGTCAAGGTATGATTGGGTTCTCTGCTCAAGTCTTCTGAGGCTAAAATCAAGGTGTTGGCTGCGCTGAGCTCTTTTCTAGAGGCTCTAGGGATGAATCAACTCCCCAGCTCATCCAGGTTATTGACAGATTTATTGTTTGTGATTGCAAGACTCAGATCCCGTGTCCTCCTTGCAGGAGACAGCTATCAACTCTTACAGGCTGCTCACGTTCCCCGCCACGTGGCCCCTCCATTTTCAAAGCCAGCAGGGGAGAATCTCTCGAATGCCAAATCTCTCTCATGCTTTGACTCTCTCACTTCCTGCCTCTGACATCTAGAGCTGTACTGAAAGGGCTCATGTCCAACTAGATGATCTCTCTCTTGATTAGCTCAAAGTCAATGGATCATCAACCTTAATAACATCAGCAAAATCCTTTTTGTCATATAACACAATGTACTTATGGGGATGGATATTTTATCATATTCACAGATTCAGCCAACACTTAAGGGGAGGTTATTATATAAGGGCGAGAGTCATTGGGGGGTCATGTCAGGGTTCTGCCCACCACACTCTCCGTGTCCCACTCTGGCCCCCTATTTGTATTAACTATTTTTCCACAGAATAAGTATGATGGAAGCAACAGGTTCACGTTCTCCCTGGTGTGCAAACACACATAAGAGAAGGTCTTCTCCAGAGAGGGTGATGAATAACATGATCCATAGAATTACCCAGGTAAGGAAGCGCCTGGGGAGCTCAGCCAGGTAAGCCATCGGACTCTTGATTTTGGTTCAGGTCATGATCTCAGGGTTGTAGGATTGATCCCCATGTTGGGGTGGGGGGGGGTCTGCACTCAGCAGGGAGTCTGCTTGAGTTTCTCTCCCTCTGCCCCTTCCCCTACTCTCTCTCTCTTTTAAAAAAACAAACAAACAAATAAATCTTTTTTTTATTTTTTTTATTTTTTTTAAAGATTTTATTTATTTATTTGAGAGAGAGAGAATGAGAGATAGAAAGCACGAGGGGAGAAGGTCAGAGGGAGAAGCAGACTCCCCGCTGAGCAGGGAGCCCGATGCGGGACTCGATCCCGGGACTCCAGGATCATGACCTGAGCCGAAGGCAGTCGCTTAACCGACTGAGCCACCCAGGCGCCCCAAACAAATAAATCTTAAAAAAAAAAAAAAGAACTACCCAGCTAAGGATTTTGAGCTGGTCTCCTTGGCATGTGGTCAAGAAGAGATAAAATTAGGGCGCATGGGTGGCTCAGTTGGTTAGGCGACTGCCTTCGGCTCAGGTCCCACACTGGGCTCCCAGCTCAGCAGGGAGTCTGCTTCTCCCTCTGAGCCTCTCCCCTCTCATGTTCTCTCTCTCTTCCTCTCAAGTAAATAAACAAAATCTTAAAAAAAGAGAGAGATAAAATTAGTAGTTGACCTCATGACTTAGTAAAAACGTAAGTTGAACAATGCTGAATAGAATTTAATACTTACTAAGTCATTAAAACTAAACTTATCTAAACAATCTAGGAAATGCATGAGTTCTAATAAAAAGTCAACAGCAGGTGGAGGAAGAGCTGGATGCAGCAGATCAGTGAGGAAATCAGTGACTCTCCATTTGCCCCTGCTACGGCGTCAGCCTCGCCCTGGGACCCTGGGTGGTGGCCCTCGCTCAGATAAGGCCCACCCTCACGTCCAGACCTTGTTCTCAGACATACCATTTAGAGGAAGGGAAAATGTTTGCCCTTGAAGCTCTTGCATCAGGCAAAGTTTCTCTTTCCAAAGGCCCTGGGAAACATCCCCGGCTCTAGCTGTCTCCCTGTCCCTGTCGCAAAACTGATCGCTCTGGTTGGCCGTGAAGCTCACATTCAGCTCAGAGGAGCTTTCTGGAACAAACTGCCGCCACACACGAGGCACGCCCAGCTGGAAGCAAGCACGGAGCTGGCACATACAGGACAGAAAGGCATCCCTGACCGGGCGTAGAGCCCAGTAGGGCTCCCGGACACGGGGCGCAGGGGAGTGGAAGTAGCAGCTAGCGATCCCCACCGCCTCTCAGCGAAGCCTGGGAGCTCTTCCACGTCTCAGGCCAGGAAACTGAGCCCCTTGCTGTCTTGCCCAGAGCAACAGAACTTGTGGCTGCCTGTTTGGAGCTCCTGGTTTCCCCTGCACGTGTGGCTCATGGTCTGCAGGCCTCGGCCACACTCGCCTCCCAGAGCAGCCCCCCGTAACTGTCTTTCCAGTAGGTAGGAATCTCACTTCCTTATTTCCGGGCACAAATGCAAAATCGCAGCCTTATTTTAGATACGCGGGTGGAGAAGGCAGCTCTTAAATCCTCCACGAGAACTTTTACCTTTGAGGAGGAGGTGGCCTGACCCCTGCTTGCTGGCCCCTGAGGCCCTTCGCTTCTGCAGAACATAAGCTACAAGACAGAGGCGGTGCGTGCGTTCCGTGTCCTCTGACAGTTCCACGTTCCCGGGGCTTCTCCTTACACCCTGTTCCTTAAGAAGAACTGTCATCTAAATTACCAGACTGCATGGGGGCCTCTAGGAGCCGATACTTCATCAATAACCTGGGGCCGTGGGTTACCAGGCGGAGCCAGATGCGTAACACGCAGGGCCCCACGCACCCTGAAAATGCGGGCCCCTAAGCCAAAAAGCAGGATAAACGTTTTCTCCTTCTTTAGTGGTCTCTCTCTTAACTCGTCATGATGGTTTTTATGTGCTATTTAGGGCCATCTCCCTGGTGCAAGGGGGACAATCACGGGGTGGTGGCACACCCTCACAGGATGTGGGGCTTGGCCCCACGACTGCACACGCCTGACCCTGTCCATGTCCCTGCGGGCCCCCGCCCAGGGTCCCAGCTCAGGGCAGCGGTGGCCGGGTGGAGGCGTGGGGCAGGTGGCCAAGAACCCGTTCCAGGGAGCGGGAGGAAGCTGAAGGGGGGGCTGCGTGTGAGCTGAGGCTCCTTCTGCTCATGCTCCGTTGCTCCACTGGCTTTCACCTGCAAAACATAAATCCAGGATGGAAGTCGCCGCAACTTCAAGATCGCTCCCCGCAGCGCAGAGCGTTCGCTGCAGGCCTTCCGAGAGCCTGAGTGATCGCACCGTTTGCAGGCGGGCGAAGCTAGTCCTGCTGCCAGGCCTAGCAGGCCGGGAGGGAAACAGAAAACAAAACAGTGCATTGGATTTCTCAACCAGCCTCAGGGGTCTGCTCTGGAGGAGTTGCGGGATCCTGAAAGGGGAGCTTCTCCACCTCCGTGTTGCAGCCGTTTCCCAGGGCAGCTCCCAGTGGCAAGGAGAAACTGAGTCCTGGTAAACTGCAGGGCCGCCTTAGGAGGGGGGATACGGCCTCAGCAACCGCCTGGACCCAGAGCTGCAGCTGCTGCAGGTGGGTGGCCTGGGCCGGTCCTGTGGGCAGGAAGGCTGGGTGCAGTGGGCCAGGGACCCACCGCAGCCCTTGCGAGGGCCTCACTGAGGCAGCTGGAGAGTCCACCTCTGGTCTCAACCAGCAGCTCTGATTCGGAATATGCCTGCGTTGAGCGCTCTGTCAGCAGACGGCTGAGGCACAGCGGGGACCCGCGTGCCTGCCCAGGTCCAGCCGCTTGGCCCGGCTCCAGCGATAAGGGGCCCACAAGGCTCCGTCCCCCTAAAGCTCAGAGGCCACGAGCCATGGCAGTGCCACACAGGGCCTTGGAAGGCGGAGGTGAGGCAGAAGGGGGCTCGAGGCAGCGTCAGGGCTGGGGCGAGGTGTGCAATTCAGGCTGAGTCTGCAAAGGGCAAGAAGGGGACAGGCAGGAGAGAGGGAAAGAGCCTCTCTGGGCAGAAGGAGGGGATGCAACAGAAGTGGGGGAGAAGCTTCTCTCGGCTCTGGCTCAAAACCAGGGCGGCCTCTGCTTCCTCATTCCAGGGTCTAATACATTCGCTCTTCCAAGCACCAAGTGCCAGTCGAGAACACATCCCTGTTTGCTCTTGAGCCCCTCAGCTTGTGATGGGGGGGGTTGATTCCACAAGACAGGTCCCTTCTTTCTGCACACCAGATAAGACAGAGCTCAGAGCACAGCAGTGAGGCATTTTTTTTTTGCACCCCTGGCTGCTTGGGAGGGAGCCCACAAACCCCCGTTTGGGAACGGGGACACTGACATCCACCCCACACGTGGTACAGAGCAGAGGGTGCTCTTTCCCGGTCGGAGCTCAGAAATGTGAAAGAAGACGACCAACAACACACTGAACTGTGTGCATGTGTCACAGAAAACATAAAACAGGGGATCTCAGAACCCACAGGAGCCTGCGGTTTCTGAAATTCGGGTGGGTGGCTTCCTGCAGCTGCAAGGCATGCTGGGAGGAGCTGGGATGGTCTGGGTGCCATCTCACCCCATGTTTGCTGCAAGGTTTTGCTCAGCATCACTGGCCTGCCACTTCCCAGAGTGGAGGGAACCCACCCATTCCCAGGAAAGCGAGGAGAGGCCAGAGCCAATAAATCAACGAGGCTCCAACAGGGCGAGGGAGGCAGAAACCCATCTCAGGCAAGGACTGAGGAAAACATGGGGAGACTTATGTTATTTTGTGCATGCCGACAGGGATTTTACTGTTATGTAAATGCAGCCAGCGGTTCCTCATCTATGCTGAAATGCGTGTGTCAGGGCTCTGCTGTAGCACACGTTGTCCGGGATAGAAACAAGCTGTGTTTTGATACAGGCAAGGCCGGTGATTACTTGCTTCTGAATTTTTTTTTCATTACAAATTTTCAACGGGACAAGCAGAGGTAGTGAAAACAGAGGTGTGACTGCAGGATCCTGGGGAAACAGCTCTGACAGCCCCCCACACCCTAACACCCTGCAGAAGGAGGGAGACAGACAGAGGGGCTCTGGGTGGCTGGAGAGGCTGAGTGGGGGACAAACACTCAGAAATGCCAGATATAAAGTGAAATGCACTTGTCCAAACTGATAGGCTGGGGAAATCAGGAGGAGAGGCGGGAGCATCCATTTCTCCAGGAGGACTCGCAGCTCTACTGGTCTGGTCATCCTTGCAAAAGACTGGGTTCTCAGGAGAGAGGGAACTTTGCACCACTGCACAGGATGGTGGAAAATTCACAAGTGCGGGTCTGCACAGGTCACAGGGGATGTGACGTGAGAGGGCAGTGGGGTCCCATAGAGAGGGGGTGGCAGGAGCGAGGGAGGCAGTGCAGCCCCTCCCACCCCCATGCAGAGCTGGTGAGCACGGTAGGTGTCTCTCCCTCAGGGCAGCAGGCAGAACACCTTTCTGCTTGGGGGGAACCACCACCTTCAGAGAAAACATTTGCCAGGTCATCCAGAGACCATAGCAACACGATCTTCAAGGTTATCCAATCCTATCTCAATGGTAGGCTGGACCTCCAGAAACAGACAAGCCGGGGACCCATTCTTGCCCCACAAACACCCTACGAAGCCTCTAAGACTCTGATTTGGTGGGATGATTTCTTCTCCCGCAAGGATTGTTGAAAGAAACAGCCACTCGGGGTTAGTTGTCTTTTTGGCAGCTTTTTAATCAGAGATGTTATGTACAACTTTGCTCCTTAAATGAATATCCCCTTTTGAAGTTCAGGGCCAAGGACGGTTATTTTGCCAGATAAGGAGTAAGATTTACTATGATCAGACAGTGCATAACGTGCAGGTTTCCTTCTTTGTCCTTAGCTTTCTGTGATGAGACAGGAAGGCTTGGACAGGAATCGGTTTCTGTGCCCCTGTGCGTTTCATCTTTTTTTTTTTAAGATTTTATTTATTTATTCATGAGAGACAGAGAGAAAGAGAGAGAGGCAGAAGCAGAGGGAGAAGCAGGCTCCCCACTGAGCAGGGAGCCCGACGCGGGACTCGATCCCAGGACCCCAGGATCACGACCTGAGCTGAAGGCAGATGCTCAACGACTGAGCCACCCAGGCGTCCATGTTTTATCTTTCCTTGGGGGATTCTCACTAGAGGTGTACCCCATATGTTCTACCTCTCCATTCCAGGGTCATTGATTTCATTCCTTATCTGTTTTGTTTGTTTATTTAATTTTGAGTCCACTTTGGAACAATTTTGAAATTAGGAGAGCAGTCTCTATGTAACTCAACTGGAAAACCCATGACCTGTGTCTTGATGAGACAAGGCCGGCTCCATGGCCCTTGGGCATTTTTGCCAAGTTCACATTTACGCACTGTCGGTCAAGGTCGGGGTGACCACCCATCCCAAGACACACAGCTTGACAAAGGCAGTCCAGAGGTGTAGTCAGGATTCCCGCTTTGGAAATTCCATAATAGTAGGAAAGAAAATAGTTTTGCATAGTTTTGCCCTTAAAAGAAAGAGGTCTCAAGCTACAGATGAATCACCGGCTACCTCCATCTCGTAACTTGGCTTCTTTATAACACCTAAAACTTCCCCTATCCCCTAGACTGAGGCACTCACCTCTCCTTGTTGCCCTCCTGGTCCTAGAGTCTCACTCCTCTGAAATCATCCTGGAACATCCTCCTTACCCCCAAATTCTAAGATGACACAGACAGAGTGTCTCTCCTTCACATCTTCCTCCCCACATTGCTGTCCTGCGTGCTCCGATGCCTGTCCTTTTCCAGACTCTCATGACCGAGACTCCCCCCACCAGCTGCCCCCCTGGCCCTTCTGGTCCCCGGGCCTCCCTCTCGCTCTGCCTCCGCCCCACACTCAATCCACAAGCCCTCACACAGCTCTGCTTGTGACCCACACAGAGATAGTCTTTCAGAAAGGCCTCCCCTGTCCACCCACGGACACCTGTCACCAGCCCCTCCACCTGACCCTGTTACCCATTTATTCTTCACGATGCTTACCACCCTCTGAAGTGATTTCTTTCTTGCTTGCTAATTGTCTGTCTGCTCCATTGGAATTCAGGTGCCATTAGAAAAAAGATCACGTCTCCCTTGTTCTTTTGTTGTATTTCTAGCACCTAGAGGAACGTACTAAGAGATTCTTAAGAGAATGCTTAAGAGAATGAATGAATGAGTGAGTGAATGAATGAATGGATGAAGAGAGTGAATCCCTAAGAGAATAAATCCATAAGAGGACGAATGAATGACTCACTTCAGCAAGGGGCTCTCAGCATTGCCCCTCTGGGCTCCTGCACTAATCTCCGTGCTTGTCGGCTTTTGCTAGAATACTGATGCTTTTAACATCCCTTTAACATGGCCTGTTCCCAGCACAGAGCAAGGTCCAAACCGCAGACCTTGCTCCTGAAGGATGTCTTCATCCAGCATTTATCTGCATCCAGCACAGTCTCCCTGGAAGCGACCTCCACTCCAGGTTGGTATTTCTGTTTCCTGCTCCTAGAGCATTCTCCTGCCATGCCCCCTCTACTCCAGGTTGGTAGAGCATTCTCCTGATGCCCCCTCTACTCCAGGTTGGTAGAGCATTCTCCTGCCATGCCCCCTCCACTCCAAGTTGGTAGAGCATTCTCCTGATGCCCCCTCTACTCCGGGTTGGTAGAGCATTCTCCTGCCATGCCCCCTCCACTCCAGGTTGGTAGAGCATTCTCCTGCCATGCCCCCTCCACTCCAGGTTGGTAGAGCATT